CTTGGCAAACAGCCCTACTTCCTGTATGGAACGGGCAACATCTTTTAGCCATATCTTCTGTTTCCCTGCAAATCCTCCACAGTACACTAAGCTTTTTTCTGCTATGCTCCTTCGTTACTGCTTGGGCAAGAACATTTCAGGCTATGGCTAATTGCAACTGCATGTGTGCTGACCATACAGCCAGCCTGAGGACAAAACCAGACCTAATAATTGTTGATCTCTAACTAAAGTTTTTTCCTCACGTGGAATTTTGTCTTCTACCAAACTGCTGATTTTTACAGAACTGGTAGAGTATTATTTGAGGCGCGTATGCTCCAGCTAAAATTGGCTTGAGTAAGCTAGTGAATTCAAAAGTTATTAGGAACCACAAATAACCAAAGACAGCATGCTGAAGTAAGTTTCCCATGCACAGGAATCCAGGCTTTTGAGGGATAAGGAGAAAGATCTTGTGTAGGCCTTTACCAGTTTTTTCGGATGTGGTTGACAAGACAGGCTGTACTGTCACTTGGCTCTGACAAACCTTGCGAGCCTTCATCTTGGTAACTGGCAATAATGAGATACACCAGTTGTGTACTGGAACTGGTTGCCTAAGGGCATGGGTCAGATAATCTAACAGAGTGTAGCGCAACTAAAAATCTCTAAACCCATCATGGGGTTAAGTGTTTCTAACTAAATATGTAAGCTCTTTTTAAATTTAGCTTACGAAGAAAACCTTCAGAGTGATGAAGCTGTGTACAACTGGCAGGACTATTAGTTTGTTAAAATGAATTTGTGCAACAATTAGAAAAGATACTTTGCATTTTCATGTTAGCATTAATTATTTGTTTGAAAAATGTAGGCTAACACTTTCAAGCTTTCAAACCCATATTTAAGCATGTACGAATACAGAAGTACTACAGAATATCAGGATATGTTTTTGCAGCTATCTGGTTCTTATTTCAGGACATCTTCTTTCTCTTTATTTTTTCTAGGGCAGAATTAATAGTCCTGGGCACAGTATTCAAGGTGAGAGCATTATTGTTGGTTTAGGACCTTAATGTGTCAGCATTTTTTTCCCCTAAATTATTACTGCTATTTAAATTAGCGTTATACAGAGTACAGTTTTGCCCAGTGAACTATGAGAAACTTTTTTTCTTTTAAATCTGAGTTTAATTTTAAATAAGACTCGAGTGACAGATGCAGACAACTGCCACCACTGGGAACGAGTCAGAATAGCGCAACTTACAGACATACACACTCTGATAAAGTTTTGGCTAGCAAGTTTGGGATATTTTGCCTAAGCATAGAAGTGAGTCCGTTATGGTCATAAGATTAACAGTCGTTAAGTTAGACTAATAGACAACTTCGTACGGTCACTTGTGTCTTCTAGGAGCCACTAGTACAGACCTAGGAAGGCAGCATAAACCCCAGGATATTCTAACCTTAGGCACTGCTTGGACCATGGTCTAATGGATAATTCTTTTTTTGTCTACTTTGTTTTTGGACTAATGTAATAAAGTGTGGCACCTGCAACATCTCCTGCGATTAAACCTCTAGTTAAGCTACAAGTTACACGAAGCACTGCTCCTTTCCATTTCTTTTGACCCTGTTACCTAATGATTCTTTAATACCTTGTCATTCTTCTATTATGCAGCCATTCCCTCTCTATGTTCCTCATGATACTAATGATTTTATAGATGCCTGTTAGCCTGCCAGATGTAGTGAATAACTCCAGAAAAATACATCCTGTGCTTATTGAATATTATGTTGATCCTTTCTCATGTGGCTGCAAGATTCTATTTAGGTATTTCAAAGCCACTGTTGTGTCTTAATACATAACTGTTAAGGAACTGGTAGGAAAAGTAAATCATCAGAAGCTTATGCTACCTCTCAAATTGATGACATTGTACCCAACAATTTTTCAGATTGGGCAAGATATGGCTAATTGTTCAAACCCAATTTGCATGGGACAGAAGAAAAAAAAAAGAAAAAAAGAATGCAGTTGCAATGCTCATAATAAATATGCAATCTGTAAAGAAAGAGGAGAAAGTTAGGAGGCTTTGGCCTTGTAAACTGGAGATGCTATTCAAAACCAGTCCCATTTCACTCTGTAAAGTTCTTACCAACTCTCTGGGTTGCTGAGAAGTATATACAGACAGGCCATGCCACGTCTATTCTCATTATGAGGCTATCTTACCTGACCCATTTTTCAGGTATCCATTTGCATCCACAGTAGTGTACATGATGTAAGGACCGGGCTGATTAACACCGAAAGGCTACAAGGAGGGGGAGGAAAAAACAGGCAAAGTTTTAGGAACAGACAAAGCTATAGTAATAAAACAGTAAACCAAAGAAAAACATTTCTAGATTAATGATTTCCTTTTGATATAGATAACTACAAAATCTTGCAACTGTTTTGGTCGTAGCATTATGTGGAAATTGGTTTTCAAAATAAGGCTAATCAGTTGGCCAAGTAACATTTAGTGTCTCCTGAAGAAAGCAAAACTATTCAGTCCTCTGGCAAAAGGTTTAATGTTTCCCTGGAAGTTACAAGTAAAACAAAAAAATGTAACTGTATGTTCTGAAAAAGCAGAACTCATTTGATATTGTCTGAGAGAATGCACTATCTTGATGATCTTTCTGAATTGAAAAATACTACACAAATTCATTATTTAGCTGTGTTTTTTTTTAATTCATGAAAGTGGTTGAATAGTTACTTGTCCAGTACCAATATCTATTTTAAGCAAACTCTCTTGAGGGAGAAAATGTACTTTAACATCAAAGCACAGTTATGGGGAAAAAAATTCAATTAAGAAAATAAAATCAAAGATAGTTGTGGATTACTGAGTGATGAACCGTAACAAATGAACCTACGTAAGAAGGGAAGGAAACAACTATCTGCTGTGGTGGGGAAGGGAGAGGAAGGGGACAACTGTAAGAATAGATTTAAAAGAAAGTTTTGCTTTTTTTTTTTTTTAAAAGCTGAATTCAAGCTGATATTGTGACATCAAATCCAGCAGAGATCTTTCAAATGAGTTACAGAAAGAACACTTAAAGAATAGATGAAGAAATGTTTCACACCGTGCCTCAAAAACCAGTAAGTTCTAAACCGTAAGAATAAGTGATAATGATGAGATGGAATTAAAGCCTGAAAAATAAGAATTGATTAGAATGAAGAGAAAGAACACCACAAAAGTGATGTTAATTAATGCAGATCTATGAAAGATAAGAAAATAAGATGAAAATTTGGTTTGTGTGGTTTGGCTTTGTTCCCCCCTTTGTACCAAGTAGCTGTATTCTGGCATAACATCCTTTGTTACTTTCTGACAGAGAACTTCTTTTACAGTGGAGGCAATAGTGTTTTGATGATCATTATAATGAAATGTTCACCAACATCTGTTGTGAAAATTTGCATTTTAAACCCTCTCTTTAGTTTTGTAATTAAGCTATCAGCCCCCCTAATTATTTTATATCAGAAATTAAATGCTATGTCTTAAAATAGGCTTGAAGAAAAAGTTGGTCCCATTTGAAGCAGTTTTTGTATTTTCAAATTAAAATTAAATTTCATATTTTTGCAGAGCTAAAGTGCCAATGCTAGCTTTGGTTCCTCTAAGTTGCTTTTTTAGACCAACTTTCACTGTGAGAATTGCTAAACAATTTGCTAACTGAAAGTTTGGTGGGTGAGTTGCAGGGTCTCTGGAGATGATTAAAATAACTGAAATAATAGAAATCAGCACATGCATATGTAGCTACCTGCAGAATCATCTGAACCAATTGTATTTCCTTCCCTTCTATCCTTCATTGTACTCACTCACTGTATTTTAGTCCAGAAGTGGCTATAAGGCTGAATCTGTCCCATGATCAGTTTTGTGTGGCCTTTCTGACTGCCCAGAACAAGACTTGGCATGCTACACAGTTTGGGCATCCAGCCATATTACACAAGTTTTTCTTGTATGTGGTGTATCCCAGCCCCCATGACGCTGGGTAACAAAGCTCACTGCAGAACCAGTCAATCGGTTTCATCTCTGACAAGACAGCTGGTGAAAGGTATGCATCTCAAATGTGCAGGCCTTGTCACAACTTGGCCAGTCATAATTTGGATTATGCATTCTTCCAGTCAATAACTGTCTAAATATTTGGGGAGTTTTTGATATAATTAGACCTCAGCTTACTTGAAGCTAAATAACGCAAAGTTATAGTTACACTTACTGTTATTTTCCGAGGACAGTCATTAGAACAGAGGCCACTGAGAACTGCAAAAACAAAAAGTGAGCTTGTAGTGTTTCTGTAAACAAGCCGTCTTAAAAGCACGACCTCTGAAATCTGTTAAAGTATAGTAATAGTGTCAGGTATCCATTAAAATGCATAAAGAAAATAAATTTCTTCTATATGACTTATGTTAATGTAGAAAAAAATTCCTAATCTGTTTCAAGTATACTTCTTTGCAGAAATTAATCAGCTAGTCACTGTTTTATCATACCTCATTGATTAAACAGCTTCAAGAGGAGAGATTTGCCAGTTAAAAAAATTCCAAATGAAAACATTTTTTAAATAGCGGTCTGTACATTTTATTAATTATTCTTCATTTCTAACCATTTAAAAATATTGGCAGAGATTCAGCCCTACTGTTTTAACTGGTAAAAGGGTAAGTAACAGCTTTTCTATACAAGGGATAACTTTATATCTTGATTTAAAGCAATTCACAAAAGCTGTAACAAACAAAAATCCCATTACCTATTTATTCTATGAATTCCAAAGTATTATAAGCAGATGTGTAAAATGCTACTTAATATCTAAAGCCTGTGACAGTTGTTCAATTACTTGTTTAAGGCTTATTAGTTTCAAAAATCAGTTAAATTACAGAAATATCTGTTTAACACAATCAACTAAATGACAGACAATGAAAGCCATCTGTTCTATAACCTAGAACATCCTGTCACATTGACTAGTATATCAGTACTAAAATACCTTTAAAACAAACAACAAAAACCACATACACGCAAAACCCTAAGGTGTCATTCTGATGCAAAGTTTGGATTTCAAATGACAACAGTTTGGTTGAGGAGCAGCCCAATAATGGCTCTGAGCAGGGAAGAGGATACATGCCAGGCAGTATTGAAGCTAAGTGAAAACATATCTTCTCCGTGAGTTATGGTGCCCCAAAGCACGCGTGGCAGACAGTGAAAATTAAGATTCAGACTAGATTTGAGGGCAGGTCCTCCTACCCACTGGGGTTTTTTTCAAAGCATTTTCTGTCTACTTCAAGGCTCCATGGAGCTTCAGGTACAAAATGTTTGGGGACAGTGAAATACTAAAAAGTGTACTTGTTCATAGTGTAACAGTCTGATTAGAAATCATTCCCTACTGGCATCAGAAATGGCACTCTTCTAGTGAAGGAACATTTCTAATATTTTGTGTGCAAATATTAACTGTCATGATTCCTAAGTTATTCTTTGCAAAATGTTGACATTTCCAAACATAGAAAAATCTATTATCTTTACATATTCCAAAAAAAAAAAAAGTATCTGGACAGGTAAGATGAGGGCGTGGCAAAGCAGAATTTGAAGACTGTGTGTATCTACAAATAGCCTTTTTAAGCTACAAGCTTATTTTATACGTTATACATAAATGTGTATGCAAGTGGAACCAACTCTTCCTATTTTGATGCAGAACGGCACACTGCAATTTGCTGTTCAATTTCACTACTGGAACAAATAGTCTGACCAAGTACATCTGACATCAGTTATAATCAGCAAAACGGTTTTCATTGTCCATATGCCGAATAAGTGAACACAATGCATTTATTAATACACTAACTCACACAAAGCATGTTTTATTAGAAATAGTCTCCCCTGTACCACAGTAAAAATATTTTAGACTACTCCTTAATTCCCGTTTCCTGGGGTTTCCATGCAAAAATAGTCACACCCTAAGAGGGTGCTAAAAAAGGCTTGCTCCACTTTTTAAGATAGATTTACAAAGACTGAATCAAAAAGCACGTTGCAAATAACTCTCTTCCTCATTCAAATATCACACAATTATAATTCTAATATGGCTTTGTGACGTGTAAGATTTTTCTAGAGGATTTTCTGTATGGTTGTGTGAATTACACTACCCATATGCAGTATTATTTAAAAGGCTTCCATCAACACGACAAATCATTATAGGGTATTACGATGAGAATAAAGCTCAGGCTAAGGAGAAAGTAATAAATGCATCAGCCCCCACTATTAGCTGCAGTTCTGTTTATCTTACGGTGTGCAGAACGTGTGCTTCAGAAAGATTAGATGCATTTAAGTAACATGAAGGCAAATACAATTTTTGAAGGTGAACCTCTAGTTGTTCCTGTTTAGCTTTGTCCTCATAAGCTCACGTACAGCCTCATTTTTTAACTCGTTCTCAAAAACATCAAGAAGACAGACAAGCAGTGAGCTGAAAGCTCAACACCTTTGTAACCTGGAAGAACACGGCAGGACATGCGATTTGAAAATCTAATTACTCTCAATTACAAATATCATAATCTAACTCTAGGCTTTTAAACCAAGGCTCTAATTAGCTCACACACCCTTGCTATGTTTATTGCCATTCTACGCTTTTACGGTAAGATGTGTTTTGTGCCATGTAGTGCTTTTAGGCTGAAAACACCAAACCGACTCAACACATGGAAACAAACTGGTTCTCAGAATAGATCACACAGCATAAGGAAAATATACACCATGCCAGTTGTCACTGAAATGAGACCAGCCTGTTTTGCACTAGATTCTGCATCATTTCCAGATGATACAGAAAACAACTCCAGTAAAGTAGGCTTGATATGACAGAGGTACAGCAAAAAAGACAGAAATCCCTGTTGGAAAGAAAATACTGCAACCACTCATGGCACAGATAAAAATAAATGCAGTTGGCTATTGTTTCTTGCCTTGGTTTCTGAAAATAGGCAAGATAACAAAGCAGTCATTTTGGACAATCAAAGCATGTTCCTTCAAATCAATATTGCTGTAATTTCTTCTGGTTCCTTTCTGTCTCACTATGGCATACGTATTTATATGAGCAAGCACAATTAGATTTTTCCTCAAATTAATGATTTATGAGCTAATCTTCCTCCAAATTTTAAATAGCATCACACATTAAAAAAACCATGTAAGTTGAATGATAGATATGTGTAAATCTAATGTCATTTTTATATTAACATTATTTTATGTGAGGAGGTAAGTGAAAGTATTGTACAAAACATTCACAGAAGGGGCCCCAAATTCAGCTAGTCCAATCCTTTCCCTCAAAAACCAATTAAATATACTACATCATTTCTTAACCTAGTTGTCAGGACCTCCAATGTTGGTAGTTCTGCAGCTTCTCCAGGAATTTACGTTAGTATTTTGCAAGCCATTGTTTAGGAGATTATTCTTACTATTTAGTCTTTGTAGTTTTTTACTCTATGTTTTATCCTGCGTGAACACACAGAACACTTTTCCCCCATAGTTATGCATCATTATGGATTGAAGGCATGGATCTTCCTGACATTTCCTCTTTTAGGCTCAATAACTTGGTTCCATGTGCAGATCATATCTTTAGACACTTGATAATTCTTGGTTTTCCTTCAGGAGCCAGCTGAGAAATAAGTTTTTAAAGATATAGTATCTTATCTGTCTTTAGAATTTTGCTGGGATGCAGAAGGAAAGGTCCAGGACGAAAAGAAAGATTTAGCCCGCCTCTAGTTTATGAGTGAAATAAGACATGTGTTCTTGTAAAATAAAAAAAAGCCACACTCAGGAGATGATGAACACTTATTTAAAGGTCATTGTGGTCAACCTTGATATTAAGAAACAGCTAAAGGGTTGAAAATAGCGGGCAGAATTACTTCGGATTTTAATAAGTACACTAAGATAAAAACAAGGAAACCCCCTTTGAAATGCAACAAACCAAACTTATCCAAGTTCAGATTCTGCAACAAGAGATTTCTGCAATCCCTAATATTTTCCACACACTGTTTTTTCTTTTCTAGAATTATCATACACAGAACATCACCATAATGTTATCATATACAGAGGCTTAAATGTTCACATTCCTCTGAAGGTTCCATTTTAACTTGATTATACAGCGATAACTTACCAATAACTTTAACAAAATAGGCATCTGCTTCAAAGTTATTTTTTAATGTGTGGATAGTAAAGTCCTTGTTGGAGTAGCCTTTGCTTAGCACAATGATATCCAAGATTCCCTAAAGGAAAAAAAAAATTACATTAGAATGCTGATTTACTCTACATAACATTGAAATTTAGCAAACAAATTCCCTTAGAGATACAAAGGAAAAAATAGAGTCTGTGCAAAGTTTACACCTTTGCTACTAATTTTCAAATCTTTCAAATATCTTTCAAATCTTATTAATCTATGGTAATTTAGGACAGAGTGCTCCATCCACAGCTAAGCAGGACAATGCATGTCGTCCATGAAGCGGGCAGTTCAGATGGAGCACATGGAGGGTCAGCAAACTTTTAGCAGTGATGGGCTGCTGCTATCTGCTCACCTTTCAGGGAGCTTCTCAAGACTGAATTTCCCAGGGGGAAGGCACTGTTGCCATGTGCTGTAAAGCCAACGTTTCTACCAAGCAGCCTGCCAAGGGCACACAGACAGATACAGCAACACAAAGAGAGATGCTGGTTGCTATATTAAGGAGCTGAACTTACATCTTCGTATATGTCAAAGAAGGTTGCTACCACTGCATCTTTGATTTGATTTAGATCCGAGAGTTCCCAAAAAACTTTAAACATACGACGTACACTCTTGCAGCTTACATTATTGCATGGGACATTTTCGAGTAAAAACGCTTGCTGATTGCTGTAAGACATACATATATAAAACAACTCATTTGCTATAAACAGTCTAAATAATGGACATTACAAAAATATTGTAATTACATAATTTAAGTCTACTGAAGTTAAGTATTCTGTGATAATAAAACAAAGCTAGCAGCCACTGGATACTTTAAAATCCATAAGCACTTACGTTAGTTTTACAGACAGAATTACAACCATTACGTCATGCCCTACTTTTTTTTCCACTCGAAAGACTGACCATATTCTTACTTTATTCTGAAACAAGTACAAGTGCACTTATCTGCCATTTTCCTTAATCCCTCCAAGGTCCTTCAGCTTAAACACTACTTAAAGAGCGTCAGTGCTTTTTCATTATTTTATGACAATCTATTCCCACCCCAGCTCCATTAATAAATTTTCTTACATGTTGCATGGTGCTTTAAACAAATTTAAGATTAAACCAAATCTCTATTGGTATTTTTCCATTGTTTCAAAGCAAAACAGAAAACACACACCCCTACTTATTAGCACAGTAAAAATAGGACAAGACAAACCTAATTGGACATTTGGTGACGCATAACAAATACAGACAGAAAGACGGGCTGTAGTACTGAAACAAGAAGCAAACAAATGAACCAGAGTACCAGGTCTGGTGTAGCAAAGCGTCCCTTCTAAAGAATTTGTCTAATACATGCCCATTGGTCAGTGGGAGACACAAGGTTCACATGTGCGTGCTGGTGACTAATAGCATTACATGCTGTCTCTGAAACTGCAACATTGCCGCTCTCACTGGAACTGTGAAAACCTTCTGACGTGGTACCAATTGGGAGTCCGACTCTTTGGCAGGTCTGCACCCTGGGAGCCCGCTCAAATCCGTCCCTGCCTTGGCAATGGGAACAGATGAAGTTCCCTCCTCTCTTTCTGGGGGCAGAGCCAGGAGATGGAGCAGAGAATGTTCTGTAAAGCTAGCTAAGCATGTCTGAGCCCAAGGCAATAAGCAAACCCACTTCTTCTTTATGACCTTGAACATACTGGTGTTTCAGAGAGTGACAACAAGGGGTTTTTCTGTATCTTAACAGTACCCGGTGCCTCTAGGATGCAGTCACACACATGCACACACAGGCATTTCTCCTTAGGAGAGTTTTTATTTTTCTTTGTTTCTATGGTGTATTTGCTACTCATAAGAATCCTATTGCACAGCATTCATATATCTGCACCACCCGTTTCAGAAAGAGAGAAGGGCAAAACATCTACCCTGAGAAAAAACATTTCTGACACCAAAGTCAATCAGTTTCCTTGCCTGTTGGCAAGTTAACATTTCAGAACCTGCAAGAGGAAAAATGCAAGATTTTGTTCTCTGTAAGATGGGTCAAAAGTAAAATGGGATATTTAAACACTTCCCTCAAAACCTAATAATCACATTTCTTGAGCTTCTGTGAAAAATACACAAATTAGGCTTTTATTTTTCTGCCATACGGCTTCACTTGATTGAAGCTTAGTGTGAACAACCCCCTTTTTACTGTTTCACTGTTAGAAGCATGAGTATATTGAATTAATGTCCAGCCAAAATGAAATGAGGTGATCTGTGATATTTAAGACATTGTATTATCTGTATCTGAGAACTCATAATCATAAATTGAAGTCGTTCAGCACTCACATTCACTTCATGTATCACATAAGTATCCTATCAAATTAACCAACTATAAGGCAAGGTGACAACCTGAGCTAAGCAAATTGTTTCAATTTCTCTTCTTCATCATCTTGACATACACTTTTTAAAAAAAAAAATTTGAGGACATTTTACAAAGATACAAAATGTGAAAAAAGGTAAATTGCCAGTAATTATCAGATGATATTTAAAAGACAAAAGATCATCAAGCTTGCATTATACACTACATACAGAGTATTGTTCAAATATAAACTATAAGCCTTGTGAACAGATAGACACAAGAAGTTTATTTAGTACAGGAACCTTTTTTTTTTTTCCCCTCCTTTGCTTGGTAGTGTGCATTTAATGACTTTCAAAACATCACAAACTGAACAAACAATAACATAACACCAACTGCACTGTGAGAGAAAGTGAAGATACTAATTAAAGTGGCACTGAGCAGGGAAACACCCCCTTCCTTCACCCTTCTGTATTAACAAGAGAAACACAAGACAAACAACAGGAAGAAGAAAAAAATCCCAAACCCTAACAGATGCTGAAGACTGAGAAGTGCTCTACAGGAGAGCTATCTTGTAGAGGGAAAAAAAAAAAAAAAAAAAAAGAATTAATTCACAGATGTAGCATCCCTTGTAGCAGATCTGCAAAGGTCTGGAGAATCCCTAATCAGAATATACCTGAAATCTACTAATGTTTATTTTAATAGGCAGCAGGAAATTTCATTTCATACTACTACTGATTTATATCCATACAATCCCTTTTGAAACACGAATACAAGCTTGCCTAGAAAAATTTAAAACTCAAAGATGTTACACATAAATGTTAAGCTACAGCAAATGTTAACTATACCTACAAGTACATACGCATAGTTTAGATTCACTACTGTGAGTCATACGAAGTTGAAATCTGACTTTTTTTAAAGAGTCAGTGTTATTGCTTACCGTTAAAAAAAAGAACTTGCAGGGTGACAGACAAAAATAATTAAATTCTTAAGCTATTACTGTTGGTGAAATAAAACAAGGTTTAAATGCAAACTGCCATATTAAACTTCTTTTAAGTTTTAAGGTTTTTTTAAAGTGGAATTTACAGAAACGCATCACTTCACTGGAAGCATACAGATTATTGTTTTTTTCTGTTTACAAGCTAGCTATTATTAGCTTTATAATGAAAGCTGAGCCTTCTTTCCTGTCAATTTCCAAGGCAATTCCTTGGCATTTATTTTACTGAAATAAAAGAAAAGCATTTTTGAAAAGCATGATGAGAAGAGTTAATAACTTATTAGATATGTGGCTTCTAAACAAATGCTTTAACTTGAGAATATCACTCAGGTGTCTTCTACATAATTTTGTTTTCTCCTTTTTAAACAAATAGACATTTATAGTAAGGAACTAACTTACAAAATCATCTTTAACTCTGAAATGATTCAATTTGATTCTTAACTTTCTTCACATTTCTGGGCCAAATTTTGAATGCTATATCCTGCCGTTAGTATTTGAACAGCATTAGTCAACTAAAATACACTCTTGAAATATTATTAGTAGGAATAAGTAGGAATTATGTACAACACCTAGAAACAATTTCAAAATAACTACATCTAAAAAGCAAACGTATGCACTCACACAGCAACTTCTGAATAGAGGAAAAAACCAAAAAGCGCTCATTTGGCGGTGGGGGACAGTGTCCAGGTTCGCCCCAAAAATACAGGCAAAAAAAAAAAAAAAAGGAATGTACTTGCAGTCTTCCTCACATCTGTATATATAAACAACCTTAGTGCTTTCCATCTAGTTTTCAAGGTGAGCTACATTCAGAGTTCCACTGAAGGCTGCATGTATAACTAGTTGTCTTTGCACGCAAACATTTTTTCATGTGCAAAGTCAAGTGATTCCCACTTGACTCAATACAAGATAAAAATAAACACTGAAATAAAACATTATTAAAAGATTTTAGAGGTTGATTACATAATAATGAACACTAATGGAAACCAGAAACTATATATATGTGTTTGTGTACATATAGAGATATGTCTTAGTAATTGTTAGCCACATATCCTTCTTGATCCTTCTCAGTCTCGGTCCACTCCCAGGGCTGTACTGGTATGGGAACTCCCATGTGCTATATCTCAGCCTGGGAGGAGGAAATCTTAGTGCATGGGCCACTCTTTTGAAAGGCTGCAGCAACAGGGACAGTTGCAGTGCCTTACTGTTTGCAGAGGAAAGAGAAACCAGCTGTTCAGTTCTTTCTTGGAAGAACTCCCAAGGCCTGAATTTGGCCTCTAAGCTGCCAGACGAGTCATTATGTTACTTAGGGCTTTAGTACACAAGCATCACTAGAATCACAGTATCTACCTCCACGTTTCATTTCTGCTACATACTACAGTAACCAAGAACAAGTTTATGACCTTCCTATTATTTTGAGCCAAATTTGGAAGATCCACACCATCAGAAAAAGAAATCTCCCTGTAACAATGAAAATCATCAGCATCCTTAAAATGACAAAACAATGTCCCTCAAAACTTATGGAAAAACACAGACACCGCTACAGCGGTAAAACCTTAAAATCGATGCTGCAGCGCTACTGATACCTAACAGTCAATATTGAACAATTCAGCTTAAATTCTGAGAAGAGGCAGAGCAAAAGAAGTCCGAAGTAAGACTAGCATATCATCCTTACCATGCTACTTGCAGCACATTTAGGTATTCACACCAATGTATACACAGTGGCACCTAACTTGTGTACTACCTGCAAAACTTTATCCCAAACAGCTTATTAATGATGCTCAATAAAGTATAGGGTTGTCTACAATTTGGAACTTTCTGACTGAAGGTCATCTACGCAGCAAAGCTAAATTTAATAAAGCTGAAAAAAGCTGAATTGCTATAAGCAAAGGTTAACAACAAAGAAGGACCGAAGACTTACCACGGTTTTATTTTAACATACTCCTTTGCAATTAGAATGAAATATTTACTGCTCAATTTCATACATCTCTCATTCTGTCAATTTTAGGCTAGTTCATTTGCAGTTATACTGGGGACATCTAAATGACTAATATCTTACCCCAGACATTCAGAAAAATTGGATTTGCCTCTGGTTTTTTAGATTTGCTCAGTTACAGGGTGCTCATCAATCCTACATTTAAAAGAAGTCCTTTACCCAACCTTAGTTCTGACAAGTGACAACTAACAATGATTTAGGGAGAGATAATTTGGTCAGATAAGAGTCCTTTCAAGTAGACCCATATGAAAGATTAATACGTATACATTATTTTAAAACTGAGCATGAATACCTGGAAAACTTTCTAGAAGTGTATTAGACTCAGAGTTTTTCATTCAACTGTCCATATCCAGTTGTTTATTATCTCCAAGTTTCTGTCTTTACTGTTATTTACTACCAACGTCAGAGAGAGATACTACATTTCCAACCTTGACATTACTTTACCAGTGAAAAAAATTCCCTTTGAATAAAAGCATCACTGAAAAAAATGCTTCTTTAGAATACATATTTGCAACGAAGGATGCCAATTATTAGCATCTAATTTGGAAACACATGGTTAAGCAAAATTTGTTTCATCTAATCAGGTGGGAGAAAGATAGGTGTTTATAGACTCACGTATGGTACTTACACTTTCAATGTTACCAGAGTCAATTTAAAACCAGCATGTGAAAAAAAGAAGACATTTAGATAAGACAGAAAGTAGAGGTGGACCAATGAATAACTGCTGATAAAATCCCTTTACCTATTATTATTCTATATACATACACAATTTCTAATTCAGTCATAACTAGAGGGAAGAAAAAAAATCATGTCTATATCTAGCCTGAAGAAAAATCTGCGGACAGGAATTCTGATGTGCAGGTTTTGACTCAAGTCAGAAGTTAAAAGAATAATTCATATTGGACAGTTAAATATCTAAGAATTGAATGTGAATTTAGCATCTTCCCCTGTTGGAATTTATTATGTCTCTGGGTTTAAACCCCCACCACACTTGCAACCACAAGTCAGATTATTTTTTCTGTCGTTGTTAATAAGGAATGTCTCCATGCTGTCAGGGTATTACATGCTTTTATTTAAAATCAAAAGGATATGGCAGGAGATGAAACAGTGTGGTCTCACAGTAGTACTGAGAATACTTAAAGTTATTAATCATTTTTCCTTACTCACCTGGAAGGACAGTAAACCAAAGTTATTCCTACCTATTGCGTCTTTACTTCAGTGTTTTGTAGGTATTTTAAGGACGTGATCTGAAAGTGCTTTCCAGAATTATGATGAAAGCATGTAATTGATTTTAATTATATTCTTCCATTATCACGTATCAGTATATTTTCAGATTAATAAAATGGTTTCTGCCTCCTTTAATTTCTTTAAGTTACAGCAACTAGAAGCTAGGCTTCCTGGACTATAGCACAGATTGAGGTCAAGGGTTTACAGAAACGCTTTTATCATTTAATCATAGTAATCAATCACTGAAATTAGATTTGTAGATGTAGCATGAAAGGCTTCAGAGAAAAGAAATAAACAGCTTGATCCAAAAGTGTTTAAAATCAATTAAATAAGGTTTTCATTTTAATTTGCTCTAATTTAAGAGGAGCTTTTAATTTAATTCCCACACTCTTAATTCTCTCCTCTCAATGACCCAGTTACACGTTTTAAAAGGGAGTATTTGCTTAAGTCTTTCAGAAACAATGAATTAATACTCTGAAAAGTGACATTTCATAGTGGGTGCAAAAAATGTGACTTTTGTTCCCATCTCAAAGTACAGAGTCTGTTTCCATTACTTTTCCACAACTGCTGGAAATATACAGTGTTAACATGCAATGTATTTCTTAATTCCTAGTTTACTTGCTCTTTTTTTGCCAGACTTCCTCAGCTCTCTGAACTTCCCTTCTAATAACCTGCCAAATCATCTACCAGTACCTTCAGTCCTTGTGCCTTACTGTGTCACTCAACTTTGAAGTCAAGTTTCAAAATAACTTTAAGATGCCCTCAACTGAATAAACAAACAATTTCAGAAGCAAGGAGAATAAAGATAAAAGTGTATCACAGTCATTCATTGCAATGAGATATAGGTAACTTCCTGGGCTTTTACAGGAGTAACTATAAATTGGATAAATTTATAAACTATTTAAATATTTCACATAATATTATTTTGCCGTAATTACACACCAGCCAGAGGAAATAGGCTCTTAAGAATCTTAAAAGAAAAAAGAATTACAAATAAACTTCTGAACTCCATAAAGTTCCGTAAGTCCTTCTGAAGTGTACTAGCCATCAGGATACAACACCAGAAGGTAGCCAAGTGCATAGTACAGCTCAAAGCACCAGATTTGTGGGGCTTCAGTAAAAACAAAGACAAGAACAACCTTACAGTTTAGATGTCATGGTATTTCTACAGGCGAGGTAAGACTTTGGTTCTCACCTGCTCTCTAGACTGTTTCAATCGTTATTCAATGACTGCTCAACAGAAGATGCCAACTCCCAACGGAGGTTCAGGGCCTGAGTGCTTTAACTTTGCCTATGCAAGTTCCGGGCAGTAACAGCATCACCTGCTTCTCCTCTGCCATGTCTGAATAAAAACAGCTGCTGTGCTAGTTATTTTAAGGCTCAGAGGTACAGAGACAGAGCTCAGCTGCTCACTGCTTTCTCTCTGAATCACATCACGTAGGCTCAGTACGAGCACGTAACTCTTCAAACTGGGTCAATTTTAGGTATGTGTCAGTATCTGAAGAACTCTGACACAAAAATGTCAGTGGGTGACTCATGTTTAGGCAACCACTAGAGGATCTGAATTGACTTCTTCGACTTCAGCATCTAAATCCTGTCTATATACTCTTTTAAGTAGCAAAGTGGGCTCCTCAGTTCTTTTCCTTACTGAGTATTGATTCAAACTATGAACCAGCACCCAAGCTCATCCAAAATAGCATACAGAAGAAGATAATAAATATACCTGTAAGAGAGACTTATTTTGCCTTGTAATGCACTAGTGCAAGTATTTGTCATTCCCAGTAAGGAACATATTGAGATTCCATAAGGTATGGATTAGAATACCTTTTTACAAGCAGCGACATGAGGAAGAAAACAGGGATAGTATAGATAACCTTACATCTCTTCATGCTGGAAGACCCAAATTGTACAGCATCAGACCGACCTCTAGCCAGGGCACAGCGTGCTGCACGTATCTCGTCTGTAGTGAGGTTCACTGGCATTATGGTCTCTAGAGCTCTTTTAGGTTTTTCTTAAAAGTAAACAAGCCTATTCATCATTTCTACTGTCAAGAAAAAGGATGTTCACACGAAAACAAGCTGCTTCACTTCAAGGTAAAGACAAGGACATGCCAGTGGTATCATCAGCAGGTGCCAAGTGCGAGCTGCCTACAGGCTTCTCCGTTACGATTAGCTGGCTAAGTTTATCCTGCAGCCAAGTGATATGTGCAGAACAGCACAGGCATGCACCTACTCAAGTCACCTGTTATGTGGATCACTAACTCCTCAATGTACAATAGTCTCCCTCTAAGCATCACTACATGTCCTCTCCCACCTAACACCAGATGGTAGCAATATATATATAGTATTAGGCAAGCAAGTAATGACAGTAAAAAAAAAAAAAAAGATGAGAAAGACTACACCGACAAATTCAATAGGAAAGGTTAGAAGCTTTTTTTTTTTTTTTTTAAGAGGGAGGTTTATTTATTTCTGTTAAATTTGGACAATATAAAAATCACTGGTAAGTTGTTAGGTGTATCTGAAATTCCTGGGTCTCAAAAGGGGCAAAACACTTGCATTTTTCAGCAGGGTCACCAGTCAGTGTTCACTCTGTGTGCCAGCACAGAAGAGGTTCCCCAACTCTCAGCAGCCCGGTGTTACTAGCCAACACTGAAAGCTGAAGCCAGGATTTTACAGAAGATGATTTGTGAAAGGAAAGGGAGAAATAATCAACTCCCGTGATCCAAGAGGAGCGCCTAAAATGGTACTTCATATTCCACTCCCCTGTGCAATTCCCCACCAAGTCACAGTCTGAGCCTATACAATTATGCATGCTGAATATACCATGTAAATGCATACCTTTGTAAAAGGAAAACATTTAGCAGAGATCAAGTGTCTTGTTCACTTGATAAAATGAATGAGATGCACTAAAACGAGTAATTTGTATGACTGATGACTGAACATGGATTTGATGATAGTCCTTATTTCTAGGTTTACATATACTCTACCTTCCAGATGTGTTCTTTAGTATAGCAAGAGCATCTGGGTAGCCATCCATATTGTAATCTCCAATATGAAGCGTAATTGGAAATGAAATTTCTGTTGAAGGTTTGTCATTTTGATATGGTACAAAGCCCCAGAGAGTATCTTTATTTCTGAAGTCTTGCAAGACTGGAATCCACTGCAAAACAAACAAACAAACAGAACAGTGAGGTAAAGAAATCCATTTTCTTTATTTAAACAACCTAATTCTATTTAAAACAGCTGACATTTCTTCACTGCATCAGGATTCTTAACCATTTACAAATTTCCAAAGAGCAAATAAGGATTATTTCCTAAGACTGCCACCAAATGAAAAAATTAATTTGAAGTCTTTTCTGTGCACTAAATTACTCCGGGACAGAAAAAAAATAGGTAAGGTTGTAAGTATAAAGGACTTGTGTTTTGGAACGTGTCCAGTGTATGGAGACATTCAGGAACAACTTCACTGAAATTCTGGCTTGCCTGGAATCTGTACTAACCCTTAAATGTAGGTAAGCTCAAACCATCAGGGCCTTGAGATCCTGAGACTCTTGTTTTTCTTGAAATTGCAAGCAATAGACAGCGTTAAAGCTGGAAGAGGGATGAACTCATTAAACTTGTGAACACCACCAAATTGGGGGATACAATCAATGTGCTTCAGGACAGCACAGCCATTCAGAGGGGACCTAGAAAGGCAAAAATGGGCAAACAGGGACCTCGGAACAATCACCAAAGAAAGTCCAGCACAGGGGAGTAAACCTCTGCAATGGTACAGGCTGGAGACTGACCAGCTGGGTAGCAGCTCTACTATAAAAAGATGCGTGGGTCCTGGTGGACAGTAAGCTAAAGCTGAGTATGGCAGCTATGACAGCAAACAGCATACTGCACTCTAACTGCTGCCCACGCTCCTGCTGATCGAGGCGAGCGATTATTTCCCTGGATTCAGCACTTGTAGGTCTGTATGTGGATCCTGTGCCCAGTTTCACGCCCCACGGTTCAAGAAAGATTTGAGAATATTGAGTGTGTTTAAGAGAACGGTCACCAAGATAGTCGGGCGTTGAATATTTACTCAAAGGACACGCTGAGGGCACAGAGCTTATTCAGCCTGCAGAACAGAAGATTTAGGGAGGATCTAATTGCAGCCAAGGAGATAACTGAGAAGATGGAGCCAGGCGCTTTATTGAGATACGTGGCAGAAGAACAAGAGACAATGGTCACAGACTGACACAAGGGAGGTTCCAACCAGAGATAAAGAGACGAAGAAAAATTCACTATGATAATGTAATTAACCGAGGAAAGAGGCCCAGAGAAGTTGCAGAATCTTTGTCCTTGGGGGTTTTCAAAGTTTGACTCAACAAAGCTCTTAAACAACATGGTCTGAATTCAGTGTTGACCCTGCTTAAAAGCAGGACGCTGGATCTCTTAAGGTTCATTTCAGCTTGAATGATTCTATTATTCATGGATATTTAGAAGTTCAAGAGCTTCAATTCCCCTCCTATCTCTCTGGCAGTACCAGATACTGAACTGTTTGATAAGAAATTAAGATTACAGCATCAAATTGAAAGTATAAAAGAAATGCAAAGTATAATTTCTCCAGGACAAGAAAAAGAACGTAACTGCACTTACTTTCCAAAGTGCTGCAGAGGTGCTAAATAGAAATTTATCTTAATTCAAATCAAAGTAATTTCACAAGTTGGTATGAAGCTGAAGTACCAGGGTTAACATTTCAATGCTACAGAAAAATTCAGTGCCATTTTTAAAGCCAGAAGTAATTTATATGTCAACTAACTGACAATGCCTTCAAAAGGACAGAAGGGTGCCATCTTAAAGAATCACTATCACCAACATCAAAAGCACTTAAACAGCATCTTAAATGTCCCTCATCCAAGCCTAAATTTAGCTATTTCAGGAACCAGAATGAGATCCCTGACAGCATCATTTCCTGCTGTGGAGAGACTCCCTCACTAACACAGTCCAGCAAGCAACAACATTCCTGCCACACGGCAATTGCAAGCAACACTTGGCCCAGTCCCTTGAGATTAAAACCAACCACGTATATATTAAAGAGACCCCCAAAATTATTAAGGAAGTGCACTGAGGTCAGCTTTGTTTGGATACCGCAGATGGCTTAGAAGCCTGGAACGGTTCTGCCAGACACCGCGTGCCTATACTTAAGCACATGTCTGCCTGTGTAAGCGACGACATCCGAACTACAACCATGGTCTACAACACTCTTGATGAAAACTCAAAATTGAAACAAAACCTACTTTGACCCCACTCCCCCCAACATATGAGTGCCTATTTAGTTACTGTTAGCTGCTGAACGTTTGGAAAAATCTAACAGAAAATAAGAAAAAGACTTCCTGAGGGTAATTTTTCAAAGGGTTACATTTCTTAGCACTTATTTGTCATGCAGAAGACAGATGAAATAATATTGCAAAATACCGTAATTTTGAAAACCACTGATTGAAGTCAGAACCATGAAATATAATATAGTTTTTACTTTACACGGTATCATTCACACAGTCATTGCAATGAAATCCAATTATATCCATCATATACTTTCTAAATGTTCCCATGTATAACAACACTATTTTAAAGAAACAAAATTACAAACGAATTTTTAGGCACAAATCCAAATTTGTAGTCTGTTTTTACTCTACCGAAAGAGTGATTCATAGAAAGCAATTTTACAATCATAAGGCCTACAATGAAATGCAGAGATATAAAACAACAGGTGAGCAAAACAGAAACCTCACCTATTGCTACCACGCACCCTCACTGTGCATGCTACAGAGTAAGATTCATCCATCCCACTGAACAAGTTGTGGGCCCTTTTATAACAGCAGTTATAGAACATTTCAAAAACATCAGTCCTGTTCAACGTGTAAGCAGAGCACATTCTAGCACCATATGTAACTTACTCTGACAGTTTAAATTCAGAGTAATCCACGTTTTTGGTGAAACGCATTCTGTGTATTTCTACGTGATGCTGCCATTTATGATAATGTAATGCAAGATTAATTGTGCATGTGCCTCAGGACCTACACTTCAGTACAGAAGGCAAAAAATGAAAATAGGTTGGACAATAACGTCAATCTCTTTCTTCTTTTGTATTTGATAATCCAGACAATTACTTTAAGCTTCATGTTTGCTGTTACTATTTTATTAGGAAAAAAGACTAAAACTAATTCTTTTTCTTTTACTCTAAGATAGAAATAGGTGGTTATATTTGCAGTTTCTGATCACATGATTTCTGTTACCTAGCTCAGATGAAAAAGCAGATTGAAAAACGGGATGAATGTATCTAAATTTAAATGAAGAAATAATATTCAGAGAAATCAAAGGTTTACTTCTTCCCTTTCTGTTAAATTCCATTGCATAGCACCACTAAGATAATTATTTAAAACGTTTATATACATATTTTTACTCTTTCAATTAATGATTTTGTAGGCTAAAATAAGAAAAAAAATCCTTATTTAAGTGCTTGAAAATTTGTTTTCCAACACTTCCAATATTTGTTTTTCAACAAGTATAAGAGAATACTTTCTTGCCCCGTGAAAACAGCATCTTTTTCATTTTGAAAAAGATCTCGGGTACGTGAGAAAAATTTAAAGCTAGTCGCACTCACCCCAACTCAAAAAGGGCTCATTTCTTCCAGAGTCCATATTCTTCTATACATTAGGAAAGGCAGTTCTCTTGCTTTAAAGCCTGTTAGCAGGTCTTTGAGCCAGAACTGTGGGATTAAAACATCTCAATTTTTAAACTATGGCCACAAACCTATGAAGCACAAAAACCCCATCCAGCCAGCTGCCCACTTCCAGGCCACCTAACACAGACAGGAGCCAGACATGCGTCAGAAAGCATTTGGAAATTGGTAGCCCATTCTTGGCCGATACCTTTTCTGGAAATGACAGGGTTTCTCCTCCTTTCTGTGACAAACGCTACCCCATCCTATAGAAAAATGAGTATCAAGAGTGGCCCAAAGGAACTGGCCACAGCAACAGAAGTCCTCTTTCTTGGGGGCTCCCCCTCTACCGTACACGTGCACTGTAGTTCAGCTGCACATAAAAAATAAATCCAGTGATTTCAGGATGCATTAGGCTTTCAGCGCACAGGAAGGTCAACTGAATTCTGTATACAGTTCAGTAGCCACTATTGCACATAAATGAATTAAGTAAATTACCTTTACGTTACACCACCAACTTACGTTGTTCAAAGCCTAGAAGATGACAATCCCCCACACTGATTTAACAACAGAGAAAGAAGTAACCAAAGCAGTAGAAGTCCTATTTTCAATGCTGGAATGTGGCTCACACAGCCCCATAGCTGCTTGGAGAAAGGTGAGCAACTTAGAAATGATGAGAGGATCTTGTAGAATCTGAGATTTATGAAAACTACAGCAGCTGCAATCCAGCCCCCTCCCCCCATTAAACCGTTAGAGGAATGAGAAAAAACTAACAGTGACCAACTGTAGCTGATAATCAATGCTGTCAGATACCTCTCTTGCCTACAGAACAATGCCACAAAGACCCGTGGTTTGCTGCAGGATGCACTGCTGTGTTTTACTTCAGAGCTGCTAGATTTGTAAGAGGAATAAAGCTCTAACCTTTTCTTTGTACAGAGAAAGGTTATAAGAATCATCAAACCCACAAAGAAACTCTCAAATTAAGGGGCTGAAATAATACTGTTTGCCTCAGGAAACAAATGAAAAGTCATACTGAATGCTTGACAAAATTAAAGGAAAGATTAGTCATCTCTGAGAATATTATCATATCTCGAGTTTCTACAATTAACAGTACTAGGGACTTTAAAACAAGTTCTGGGGAGAACCCAGTCTGATTTTCAAAATCTACATGAGAGATCTAAATCGGAGCAGATTAGTCTGTAGCTATTACAGGTGAATTTAAAGAAGTCTGAGATGTCCTAACACCTGCCACAATCTGAAACAGCGCATGGGATTCTACTTCAGATCTGAAAGCAATTCTTCTGTTGCTATGGAAGCATTCACATTCTTTTAACATTTTAGTAGGTCCGTATCTCCTTAAGTCACTCCTACGAATTTTTTGTTGGCCTTCACTTTTGCTCCATCATCCAAAAGAAGAAAATTTATCGGAGATATTTCTAATACTTATAAAGATTAAATCATTACATAAATTAAAACCTATGGTGAAAGACCATCCTTGAAATAATTCTCCTAGATCTGCTTGGCTTTCTAGTAGCCATTCAGCTGTGCCAAAGACATCATGAGAAATATACTGTAGACTGACAGATATCAAACAAGATCTTAGCAGAACAAGCCCAAAGCCTGACATGCCATTGCGTGCCTCTCCACAGCATAACTTTTAGAACCACAAATCCTAGAGATGCATATTTGATTGCTATGCATTTCATCCCAAGGCATCATTCACTGTCATTGAACTGTGGTAACTGTTTTTCATTTGATTTCATCAAATGTCACAACAAACAAGCAGGAAGGACAGAACCAGGTCCAGTTACCGTAGGCAAAGTATTTTTTGTAAGACAGTCATCTAATTTGTCATCTCTCAGATCTGAGATCAGTAACTTTCCTGAAAACAAAAATAAAAATTTGGGAAGCTAGAATTCTTAGCTACACTTTTAACACTAAAAAACCCCACCGCAAAACCTGAACAGAGATAATGGATATATAGCATTTGGTACTTTTTCAATAGTAGACTTGCAATCTCTCAGTTTCCCATTGATTCCCTATAATTACCCACCTGTTCCACAAGGGATACCATCCCCTTGTTGAAACACATTCTGCACCACGAGGACTCATTATTATTTCCCTCAAATTGCAGAGTGATTAAATAAACAAAAGGAATTGATCCTAGTCTGTTGCCACAAAGTTTATGTTTATCATTTCTCAGGAAGATTAACTTAGTCAAAGCTCAGAAGTTGAGGTCATCTGATCTCACAGTGACCAAATTCAATGAAATTAACACATTTCACTTCCAAATAAATATGGGAAGTAACATGATTGAAGAGACTTCTACCCGAAGGAAACATGCAACACATGGGAAAAACTGCAGATATATGAATGAAGATAGTGAATTTTTCCACTGTTTCAGACCAGAAAAGATAAAATGCTTTAGAAGAAAAGGCTCCATCACCTCTAGATGAGTCTAAGAGTGCAAGAAAAAAGCATTCTAGGTATAAATCTTTAAAAAGGTCAGGCCAAAACAAGTCATAATCGCATGCCATTTGATAGTCTTTTTTAATTAAAAAGTAATTCTAAAAATATGCAGGGAAATTTGCTTTAAAGTTTCTAGGTAGCTCTTTATACTTTTTCATCTTTTTTTCTAGCAGGATGAGAATTCATTAGATTCTTCACTTTTTAAAATAAAGCGTCAATATTTGGCTGCTAATTTTTAATGGAAATGTCATTATCTTGTAAATTATTTTAAAATTGAAACTACACAGTGAAATTGATAAATCAAGTAAAAAAAATTAAATGTTCTGATGAGTACCAAAAGTGGTATGTTCAAAATCTGATGTATTTGTAATTAAATAGTTGACCTCTATCAAAAAAATGAAATAATGAAGGAACAGGAAAAGTCTCTATGTGCAATGCTACTTCAGAGCAGGCTACAACAAAACACTCCACTTCAGAAAAATGCTGATATTATGCAAAGTGACCCACACCTTCCTCTGCCACTACTGCATCACTTCCTTCCAGAAATGTACCACAAACAACAGATATACAACTTTTCTTTAGCACACCACCCAGTCATCCGCTACTCTCAAGTAACAGCTTTGTGTCTCTCAATAGTACGTGCTGTTTGTGTGTGGCTGATTTTCTACACTGAAATTACTTTCACTGCGAATATTTGTCTCAAATTTACTTGAGCAGAAAAACTCAAATGTCTTTCACTTCTTATATTATCAAGAGTAAGGAACGAAGTTTAGAGCTAAAGATCAGTTGTTTTTTGACATAAGAGCACACCAACTACTCAACAGTGAAGTGTAAGCAGCCCATTACAGTAGTATAATCAGTGTAACGTGCTTATCAAAAGTCTGTGTTCTCCCCTTTGACCAGAAAGCAATGCAACTATCATGAACTGAGCATCTACTTGCTTTATACCGAGGCTATGACCTGGAAATCAAACTCTACTGTAACACTGTGTATCCAGCAACACTATAATCCATTGCCTCTATTTGGTGTTCACAGGGAATTAATGTTAAAAAAAGACCAACCACCAACAAACACCCCAAAACCACCCACAACCAACCAAACGCAGCATGCACAGGAAAATACGCATTTCTAAGAACAGAGATGCCAAGATTAGAAGGCTGAATACATTACCGAATTTAGAGTTACTTACTCTTTCTTACACTGATGGTATATTCCATCCTGGTTATACTTTCTTAACTGACTAGTAACTGCACGCTTTCCTTTCCAATACAGAGTAACTTTCTCACTAGTGGGAAAGCATGCCTATCTAGAAATTCTGATTCTTTAAATGAGAAAATCTACACTATAAACGTGGGCTGGACTGTAACAAGAAGCACCTTATCAAAATATGTACTGCTCCTTGAGCAAACAGCCCATTCACCTATAAATTCTGAAATACAGATCAGAGGGTACTACTTACACACGCAAAAAAAGTACTTTTATTTTGTCAGTAAGGGAATACTTGGTAATTCATAACCTGATTAGGAAACATGTATGACATACATTAGAAATTTCTGTAAGTACACTACAGTGCGGTTTGTTGTCAGCTGTAAGTACTTTATAGGTCACCCGGGCCTTTAAGTTCACTTTGCTAAATATGAATTTAGTAAAAACACTTATTAAGGCATCAAACAAACATTAATTTATTGTAAGTTGTAACTTCATTATAAAGCAGGGGACTGTTAAAACAGATTAGCACGCATTCTAAAAGAAAAGAATACATAGTAATCTATGACATGAATTATGACCATGTCTCTTAAAACAAGTAGTGTTGTGAACAAAGAAAGCTGAAATAGTTAAATAGAAACCCAATCCTGAAGATACGTAGCCTAAGGAAGTCTTCATATACTGTTTCGGAATTTACTTAATTAATAATAAAGACACAGTAGAAATAAGGGGTGAGAGGTGTGGGCTGGTTCAACTTGCTGTGTGTGGGGGGGTGTGTAAGTGCATATATTTTTTTTTTTAACTATAAAATAACTCCCTAACTTAAACTGAAGAAGCTTATTTGAATTAATTAGATCTGTTTCGAACTCTTAACACAAACCTTGTTAGTCATGCCATGCTAGGGCAGTTATGGTACTTAGAATGCAGTGTTACGCAATCAAGAAAGTGACTCATCAGAAACATACATAATTTTCTTGAGTAGAATTATCCATTATATAGAATTCTAAGCATGCAACCTCTTCCACCAAACCCGTATTTTTTTAGATAGGTAATAAATAAGTAAATAAATAAAAGTCTCTTATGTACAATAATTACAGGTGAGGAAGGTTCATTTCCCTTTCCTGGAAAATCATGTTCCTATTTCATAAAGCACAGTTTGTTCCTTTGTCTTTGCAATTCCAAACTCGCAATACCTGATCCAATCCTAGCTTAGTTAAGTAGATGGCACTTTTTTGACATGTCGTATCTTCACAGACTGGTAATAAGTGTTCACTTTGTCCATCCCCATCTGTCAAAGAGGAAAAAAAAGGACTGTCAGCTTTGTATTTGCAAAATCAGAAACCCTGTTTGCAAGAGAGAATCACCTGTAAATAATCGATTATTTTTTTAAATATGAAAAATTACATAAAATAAACTAGACCTTTTCAAAATGCTTAACCTAATCATCTAATCTGGGTCTTTTCTTTGAAGATTGTCTTTGTTGATGCATTTTCATCCTAACCCATAACAAAGAGAAAATTTTACTTCTTACCATGATGTGTTTACTTTGACTTCTGATCTGATGTGATATATTTAGAAGAATAAATGCTTAGTAATTTACTCAATCCCTGCATTTAGTTTGGAAAAAAATTACCTTTTATATAAATCTACCATGAGAAATCTCCCATACAAACTTAATTACCTAAACTAGTTTTAAACTCCTGTGCTGTCAGCAAGACTTTTAAGAAGAGTCACGAGTGCCCATGTCGTATGCTAACCTATACTGAGAGATAAAAAACAACACCGGAAAATTGACAAACACGGTAGCTAATAAATTCCAGGCTTATAGAATTAGGCAAACCTGAGTAATTTACAGGTTTTCAAAACTGTTCTTCAAGCACCGTTAATCCATGTATTTCCAAAGCCTTTAGCAGAGTAAGAACCCTTTAAGGTTTAAACAAGCAATGCCTATTTGTATCTAGAATTCTGACACACAGCGCATATAACAGAGAGGGGAATAAATAAATAAATAAATTTACTGCTCATTATCTACTCCATATTTTAACCTTGCAGCCCTGCCTAGCATATGCAGAAACACACTGCCCCCCTACTAAGCTGAGCCACCACAAGTTACCTTGCACGGGCTGAGAAGGAAGAACAGAGTAGCTGTTGAATGTAAGCAGCAGCTAGAACTGCTGCATTGATGACTACTGCCGCAAGTCCTGATTATAACCAAACCTTACTTGCTAGAGAGATGGTATGCCTCAGACCAGGAAAATTTCAGGGAATCTGCTTTCCCAGGCTATGAAATCAAAGCTCATACTGCAATAAAAATCCGTCTTTTCAAATTGCCCCTTAGCCCATACAGTTCTGAGGAGCTTGGTATTAATATTTTAAGTGGATTTTGTAAATTGCCTGACGAAATCTCTTTAGTTAATATGCAAAAACTAGATCATCTACCAAAGTCACTGAATGCCTCATTCATTTCCCAATATACTACTGACCACAGCCTAGATGTTCTGTCATACTTTACCTGTACTAGAAGAAATGCGTTCTCAGCCTGCCAGATTATATTTCTATGAAGCTGAACCTTCTTTAGTGTGTCTACATATATCTGTGCAGTTAAATTTTCTAGGTCCTACCCTTATTACATAAGGAAGTTGGGAGATGAAAAGTAAGGTTATAAGGGGGAGGAGGAGTGAGGAAAATACCAGACTTCCCCAAATATCTGCAAGTGATAAAGCCAAGCAGTCACCTTTAGTGGCTTCCTACATCCCATCTGCCTCATGAATTATTTTACCTCACCACTCAACCCCTCCCAAATCACGGCAGCTCTGTTATCATGGATAGACAATTTAGGATGCTGAGTAGCCTAGGCGATAGAAATCCAGTAAATTTGTATCCAAAGAGATAGGAAAGGAAATTACCGCTGAATAGAGAAATTAACGCAGCAACTATTGAATTTGACCAGTCTGAAATCAGCACCAACTTTTGAAGCTGTTTGTTTTCCTTCTGCATCCTTCAAGAACAACAATTAAAACAAAACATATTACTCACTTTAATTTATGCTTACATGAACTAGAATCAAATACTGTTTAGACTGCAGGCTTTTCCTAAACTTGAAATGGGAGAAACCTGTTTAATTTGCAAAATATAAAGTATGGAAATATTGAAGGGTTTGCTAGAACAGAATTAAGTTGCAGAGATGTCAGTGTTGTGTGGAATGTAAAATTTAAATTAAGCCCTAATCTTTTAAACACATTTCTACAGAAGTTTCAGTCTGAAGTAATTTTAGAAGACTCTCAATAACACATGAGGACAAAGAACATTCAAATACTAACTCTTCTTGCTCTTTGTTAGAATGGGACAAGGACAAGGATGTTCTCATTTTAAATTATGCTATGGAGCAGAGGAGAATATAAAATATTTGATTCTACTTAAATTGCAAACATTCATCTTGTTATGCTGATAACTCAGTTTGATAGTCTTGGTAATTAATGTCCAGTAATACTGCAGTATATTGACAGGAACAACCTACGGAGCTTTGAAGAATAATGAAACTATGGGGCAGTAAGAACAATGGAATTTTCACATAATTAGATAAGAAGTCACCACTTTACAGATGCGAGTATTCTAGATAAATTACAAGTTAAAGAGTAAGATTTTATTAAAATAATTCTGTACAATCAAAGAATGAACGGAAGGTAAATATGCAAACACGACACTTTTGCCTCTGCAACTGAAAATAATACAAATTCCATATGAGAAGGACACAGTTTCCCTAATTCCTTTGGCCAAAACCTACAGGTCCATTCGTGCAACTTTTGTTATATATGTTTTCAGTTGTAATTTCTCCTCAATTCTGTGTAACATATATTTAAGAATCCAATAATTAAAAAATAAATTTGCAAGAGAAAAATCTGTTGGAAATTTATAGCATAGTTCTAAGCAAAAAGGTGTTCTTTAAAATAAATTTTGTCAAGAAAAATCTTGAAGACCGAGGGGCCATTTTTAAGCTCACCTAGATCTCCAATTATTGCTGCACCCACCCTCCAAAAGTTTTTCACAGAGAGATATCTACCTTACGAATAGTGGACTGGGTTTTTTGGGTTGTTGTGGTGGTTGCGTGTTGTGGTTTTGTCATTGTGTTGGCCCCTCCGCCCCCCTGGTGCTCAGCTGAATTTAAAGGTAACAAAGAAATAAGATACGAACATATTACTCAGTAAGTTAGTATAATTACATTTGTCTTAAGTATAGATGTCTGAAACTAAATTTTAAGCTGAGTTTGTGTGGTGTTGTAAATTTCCAATTCCTTAACTCAGTTAGGATTTTAAGAATTAGTATTTTCATAAAATCCATTTTATATGGCTGTACAAAACTATGGCTTCACAGTATCACTTTTATTCTGAAGCGATAGAGGCTGGGGGGGTCAACCAGAGGTGATTGAGGATACTGATTGGTCTAAAAGCACTTCCATTTCCTTCCCTCCTCCTCAGAAGTGCATGCTCAATCAGCTGATTTAGCTCTAGAATGGCTCACTGTGGAATCGGGTACGAATTAGCACTCACCTATTGGAGAAAGTAGAAATACAGGAGCAGGGAAAGGAAAGGATAAGCTTGGACAACATAAGCGGACCATTCGTAAGTGTTTATCATGTTGCAGAACTGCCTACAGAGTTGAGGCACAGAAAAACTAGTAGCTTCAAAAGCAGGTATCAGAAAGCAGAATCAAAATAAAAGCACCTCCTTGAAAACATCTTTGTGTGGCTCTTAAGTGTATAGTTTTGCATGCATTTTGTATTCACTTAAAAAAATAATTAAATAACTCACGTTGCTTTTCACGTGCTACCTGATTTACACAGAAATTACTTCCTGACATTTATCTGTCACACTGGATGACTAAACTACACCTGAAAGTATTTTAACTATTATATGCTCAATACACAGAAAAAGATTATTTTTTAAAATTATACATAATTAAAAAATAATGTGTTTTATATACTGTGAATGAGAATTGTGCCCCTTACTACTAATAGAATGACCAAGAAGAACATAGTGAAAGAAAGCTGGAACAATTAAAGCATCTAACTTCCCAACAAACATATGTAACATTTACGGTGCACATGATAACGGGCATAACTGTTTGCATTTTTCATCCAAAAGAAAGGGTAGATATTCATGCTGTAGGGCAGACAAAAGAAATTTTAAACTTAAAAGACATCAAGTGAAGCACCCACAATGAGAACGTAGCTGGAGACAGTACATCAATGAAACAAGAGTATCTTCTGAGACGTAGCAGAGTAGTTTAAGAAAACCCACAATTAGTTAAATACTGTATTACAGAAAAGTAGCAATCAAAAGAAGGCAAGCCTAACATTCTTCACCTCTATCATACTATTATCTCCTAATTCTTCTCTAGTTTTTATTTCTAATGCGCATCTCACGGTGTACAGATCCATCTTTTACTGTTGAAGTTATTTGATCAAAAGCAATCTTCTGAAGAAAAATCAGAGATTGTAAAAAAATAGTAACATTTTATAAATCAACTGCAGCAGTTACCATTTTTGACAAAAAAAAAAGAGGAATAAGGATAAAATCCACCTAGAACATTCGCTAAAACTGTAGAATAATTTATTTAACTGCAAATCTTGCATCAATCTTTGTTCAAAAAGCCCAAGAAGGAAAAAACCCTCCCCAACAGAACAGCCCTAAGCACAAAGCTAAAGCAGAATCTGTTTCACTATCCCTTACCATTTTAAACTGTCCTCATTTTTAATAACTAGAAATACAGCGTTTCCTGTATTTCTGAAGGTTTTTCAAAGGTACTATGTGAAACCAACAAATTGATACAGCAGATTTTTCAGCTTTGAAAGAAAATATTTTATTCTTAATCCTTCTTGTGATTCCCACCTTGGGAATCCCACTGAAATATAAACCTTTGGCACAACTCTACTGATCCTGAAGACCACACAAAAAAACCCCAGCAGTTGCTCACAGATGAACTCAATCACTCTAACAACAAGCTTACCTTGGACCTACAATGCTAACTTCTCATCTTCACGCTTGGTGTCAATCTCAATTTAAATAAACATTCTTAAATTTTAGTAGATTCTGCCACAAAGGAGGAATAAGCCAGAAAGTAAAAAGGAGTATCATTAGCACATTTCCTCTAGTGCAATTAGGTATTCATAGGTGGCAAAACATACATTGGTGACAATGGCTGGATGAACCCATCAGACCAGCTGAAATAAGCTGCGCTAGTTTCAGATTTAAAAAAAATACCTCGCATGACATGTCTTTAATAATGTAT